CCCGAGCACTTGTCTCATGCACCCAACCTGGGCTGGTGAACTGTTTCACCCTAGATAATATACGTGTTTCAATGCTGTTTTCTTGAAACATCCCACCCTCGCCTTCTCCCAGAGTCCACAAGTCTGTTCTATACATAGGAGTCTCTTTTTCTGTTTTGCACATAGGGTTATCGTTACCATCTTTCTAAATTCCATATATATGTGTTAGTATACTGTAATGGTCTTTATCTTTCTGGCTTACTTCGCTCTGTATAATGGGCTCCAGTTTCATCCATCTCATTAGAACTGATTCAAATGAATTCTTTTTAATGGCTGAGTAATATTCCATGGTGTATATGTACCACAGCTTCCTCATCCATTCGTCTGCTGATGGGCATCTAGGTTGCTTCCATGTCCTGGCTATTATAAACAGTGCTGCGATGAACATTGGGGTACACGTGTCTCTTTCAGATCTGGTTTCCTCGGTGTGTATGCCCAGAAGTGGGATTGCTGGGTCATATGGCAGTTCTATTTCCAGCTTTTTAAGAAATCTCCACACTGTTTTCCATAGTGGCTGTACTAGTTTGCATTCCCACCAACAGTGTAAGAGGGTTCCCTTTTCTCCACACCCTCTCCAGCATTTATTGCTTGTAGACTTTTGGATAGCAGCCATCCTGATTGGTGTGTAATGGTACCTCATTGTGGTTTTGATTTGCATTTCTCTGATAATGAGTGATGTTGAGCATCTTTTCATGTGTTTGTTAGCCATCTGTATGTCTTCCTTGGAGAAATGTCTGTTCAGTTCTTTGGCCCATTTTTTGATTGGGTCATTTATTTTTCTGGAGTTGAGCTGGAGGAGTTGCTTGTATATTTTTGAGATTAATCCTTTGTCTGTTGCTTCGTTTGCTATTATTTTCTCCCAATCTGAGGGCTGTCTTTTCACCTTGCTTATAGTTTCCTTTGTTGTGCAAAAGCTTTTAAGTTTCATTAGGTCCCATTTGTTTATTTTTGCTTTTATTTCTAAAATTCTGGGATGTGGGTCATAGAGGATCCTGCTGTGATTTATGTCGGAGAGTGTTTTGCCTATGTTCTCCTCTAGGAGTTTTATAGTTTCTGGTCTTACATTTAGATCTTTAATCCATTTTGAGTTTATTTTTGTGTATGGTGTTAGAAAGTGTTCTAGTTTCATTCTTTTACAGGTGGTTGACCAGTTTTCCCAGCACCACTTGTTAAAGAGGTTGTCTTTTTTCCATTGTATATCCTTGCCTCCTTTGTCAAAGATAAGGTGACCATAGGTTCGTGGATTTATCTCTGGGCTTTCTATTCTGTTCCATTGATCTATATTTCTGTCTTTGTGCCAGTACCATACTGTCTTGATGACTGTGGCTTTGTAGTATAGTCTGAAGTCAGGCAGATTGATTCCTCCAGTTCCATTCTTCTTAGAGAGAAAGAACTTGAACACAGGGAGATCACCTGAGCAGACATCAGGGCTTATTCTTTTCCTTGATCTGTTTTCAGTAAATTCTAAAAGGTGGCTAAAAGTTGAATAATTTTTAATCTTGCAAGTTATAGGAAGTGTTTGCCATTAACTAGCTATCTAGAAGACGAGATACTGCTACTAATTCATGTTAATAATGTTACATTTTTTATTCTGCCAAGACCTAGACTCGGGCAGTCTCTCCTGAATTAGTATAAGCTTGAACCACTGAATACATTTTACGTATCATTAAGGAGGCAGAATAATTCTGCCTGCCTACCCTCCAAAAAATTAGCAACTTGCTCCAATATTCTTGCCTTGAAAATTCCATGGACAGAGGAGCCTGGCGGGCTACAGTCCATGGGGTCGCAAAGAGTTGGACATGACTGAACATACACATACACACACACACACCAAAAAACACCCACATCACACCCACACACACACACCAAAAAACACCCACATCATAATCCCCGGGACCTGTGACTATTGTTACCTTACATGGCAGACAGAATTTTGCACCTGTGGTTAATTAAGGTTAAGGTCCTTGAGATGGGAAGGTTATCCTAGATTATCCAGGTGGGTCTATTTTAGTCACTTGAGTCTTTAAAAGCAGGGAGCTTTTCCCTGGCTGTGTCAGAGAGAAATGACCACAGAAGAAGGGTTAGAGGTTGCAGTATTATTGACTTCGCAGTGGGAGAAAGGGGACCACAAGCCAGGGAACTCAGGCAGGTCTGAGTTCTGATGGAACTCATCATGTCTGATGGAAAAAGGCAGGGAAATTCTCTCTTAGAGCCTCCAGAAAGGAATTGCAGCTCTTGATTTTAGCCCAGTGAGATTACTGACCTGTAGAACGGAAAGATAATAGATTCTTGTTGTTTTAAGCCATTAAGTTTGTGGTCATTTTTTTTTTACAGCAGCAGTAGAAACAATGTACCATTTAACTACATGAGCCAGAAACCTCAGAATCACCCATGACGCCTTATTCCTTGCTCCTTGCTTCATGTTGACTCTCTCATTGCCCGGTGGGTCTAACCGCCTAAAAAGCTCTTGGGTTTGTCACGTCTGTTCACTTCTCTGGCCATAAACAACCTCTCATCTCTAGCTTGTTCTGCTGGCTCTTTTCCTCTTATCTGGTCTGTTCTCAACCTTGTAGCTTCCTTGATCTTTCTACCAGGGGCGGGGTTACTTTGTCCCTCCACCCCTAAGTAAATGAATTAATCTCACAGTTCAGCTCAAGCATTCCTTCTGGGGGAGACTGCTGTGACACTGCTCCCCTCCTTCCAGTCTCAGTCAGGCTGACTCAGCATTGAGTCCTACAGTGATTGTTGTACATGCTTGTAGAACTTTATTTCTTTATTTCAGACTGCTCATCTTAGACTCCAGTTATACATTCATCTGTGTCATTATTTGATAATCTCTATCTTCACTGGAATGTTTTAAGAACCATGAGAGCTAGAATGAAGTCAAGTTGTGACACATCATTACATTCTTAGCATCTGCCTTAGTGCCTGTATGTATGTCATTTATACACAATAAATAACTTAAAACATGTTAAACTAATGGTTTATTAGTAAACCAATAAACTAACTGGAGGAATGGACTCCTCCAGGACTAAACAGCTGGTTGGTTTTTGAGGCCGGGACACCCTGAGCAGCTTGCAGGGTCTCAGTTACCCGATCAGGGGTTGGGTGGCGGCCACGGCGGCCAGAGTGCGCAGTGCTGACAGTGGGCCACCAGGGGACCTCCCCTGAACAGCTCTCTTAGGATGATGTAGTTTGATTTACTGTAGAGTTGTGAAGAGTATATAGCTTGTAAGATAACTACTTGAAAGGATTTGAATTTTTTAAATATCCTTAAAAATAATCATTGTTATGAAAGCAGTATAATAACTGTAATTGGAAAGTAGATTATCCATAATCTCACTTATCAAACAGTAATTTTCATTCTTTAGTTTTAGATTTTTTTCAATAAAAAGATTTCCTATTAGTCCTTGTTTAAGTGTCATAGAACTATTCACACAAAGTGAATTATTATCTGTTAGGGTTTAAGTGCAATTTGATGTAATGCTAGTTACTCCAGAATATTTTTAGTGACACAGAAATGTGTGGTATTAAAATGTTTTTATAAATGAATGTGGAAATGAAAGTACATATGATTGTGAATGGAGACAGAGTTATAGTTCTAAAAGTGGAACTTTTAGAGTGTGCTGCATTATTATAAAATAATTTTACTAGGAAAAAGTTTAGTTATAAAGAAATAGTAAGTACTTCCTACTGTACATGAGATAATATGTTTTATTGCCTTCATGCTTCTAAGAATGTAAAAGTTACCTTTAACTTTAAAATACATGTAAAATAACATAAAAGTAAAATGCTGAATTATGGCAAGAGATAGTTTGTGTTAAAAAACAGTTCATGTAGTGATTGTAATAGAAGTTAACTTTTATATATCTATGCCTTTGAGTTAAGTTTGTGCAAACCTTGACAGTGGGAGAATCTTGCTTTAGAAAATTATACTTAACTACTTTACATAACACACCTTCCCGGGTGGCTCAGTGGTAAAGAATCTGCCTGCCAATGTAGGAGACTCAGGTTCAATCCCTGGATTGGGAAGATCCCCTGGAGGAGGAAATGGCAACCTGCTCCAGTAATCCTGCCTGAAAAATCCCACAGACAGAAGAGCCTGGAGGGCTATAGTTCATATGGTCGCAAAGAGCCAGACATAACTGAGCAAGTAAGCATAACACACTTCACGTAACAAATAGACTACCTAGTTTTTTGCCTTAAGTTTCAAATTTGAAATAAGCTATTATTGTTACTTAAGTTCTGTTGACTATATATGTCTATAATATAGTAAATGTTTTGTGCAAAAACTGACATACAAATTATTTTTGAAAACTCAAGAAGGAAGTACAATTTTTGGACATCAGACAAGATCAGAAAATAAGAGCCTAATAGACCTGACCATAGCCTTTCCCTTTCAGTTATGTTCTATTTCTCTCCCAGAACTGTTTGCTAGTCAGTTGCAATTCTTTGACTTGTTCCTTGAAAGACTGTGTGTGTCATTTCTGAATGAAAGCAGTTGAGAAAAAGAAATACTGTTTTGACCTGAGTATATCTAGTACTTTTCATGCTTTCCACTTCCATGAAAGAGGCATTCATAAAGACTCCTAAAACTGAGAACTAAGAAAATCTCCACTTCAGAGATTGACTGAGCAAGATGGAGACTGGTCCCTGCAGGATCTGGGGCCACAGAGATTTAAGAAACAGATGCTGTTAGCCATCTTTGGTGATTAAAATTCTGTAGAACTAAGTCTTAAAAGTCCTCAGTCAGTATTATACTTTGCTTTTATCTGCATATAATGCTGTTACAGTTGGTTGAAAACAGGCAATAGAGAGACAGGGAAAACTGCTTACTAGTAGTTCATTATCATGTTAGAGAATAAAATTTTGCTTTCTGGATTTCTAGGTAGCCTAGGCTTATAAAATAGCTCTAATCTGTTTTCTTTCTTTCTCATTCCCCACCCCCTCTCTTATTTTAGGTTTTCAAAACAAAAATAGAGTTGCAATCTTGGCAGAACTGGACAAAGAAAAAAGAAAATTACTAATGCAGAACCAATCTTCAACAAATCATCCTGGAGCTAGGTATAGAAGAATAATCTGGTTTTTATATTTAGTGATATAAAAAGTATCTTGGACAGAACTAAAATTGGTTGGCAGTGATTTGTTTCTTTAATATTGGAATTTAATATGTGAAGTTTTATTTCCTAGTTGGATTTGAAAAAATTAGATTTTAAAAATTGATTAGATTTTAAATATTTTAATTCTAATCAGAATATTTAATTTTCTTTACAGCCTACTTTCAAAAAAAGAAAAGAGTTTTGTGTTTTTTGGCTGTTGTTATTCATGAAATTATTGTTAATGTCCCACTTTTTAAGCATTATGCCAAGTAGGTAAAATGGAGATAGCTTAATGATCTTTATTTCATTTCTGCCATCTTAAATCTCTTCCCTGATAGCCAGTATTCCATTCAGCCACCACCTTAACTTCCCCTTCTCTCTTTCAGGCAGATCTCTGAAAGGAGTTGTCTGTACCTACTCATCTTTGCTCTCTCACTTATTGACTCCTTAGCCCACTACAGTCTGACTTCCAGGCCTCCCCACCCTAGCCCCAAAGAACAGATTGGAGCCTAGGTCACTTGCAACTTCCTTGTAGCTAAATATGGTGAACCAAAGCCCTTTTCTTGTTAGACTGCTTAGCATTATTTGAAACCACTGATTTCTTCCTTTTTAAAAATTTAAATGTAGTTACTGTGCAATATTATGTTAGCTTCAGGTTCGCTGCATAATGATTTGACATCTGCAAACATTGTGGTCTGATCACTACAGTAAGTAACCATCTGTCACCACACAAAGTTATTACAGTGTTGTTGATCGTATTTCTTATGCTGCATATTACATTCCTATGGCCTCTTTATTTTCTAATGGGCTCGTGCCTCTTAATCCCCTTTACTTGTTTATCCCACCTCACACACCTCCCCTCTGTCAACCACCTGTTTATCTGTGAGTCTGTTTTATTTTTTTATTATTATTGGTTAATTTTTTGTTTTAATTTTTATTGGTGTATACTTGATACACAATATTGTGTTAGATTCAGGTATATAGAAGTCTGTTTTTGTTCTGTTTTTTAGATTCCACATTATAAGTGAGCTCATATGGTATTTGCCATCACAAATGACAAGCTTTTTATTTTTTTTATTCCATTGTATACAGCTCCCTCCCTCCTTAAAATACTCTTCTTGGCTTCCATTCATTCACTGTTACGCCGTCTTGGTGTCTGTTTTAGACATTTCTCCACTGCCTGTCTCTTGGATGTTGGTACTCCTCCGAGTTCTGTTCTAGACGCAGTTGCCCAGTGTGCGTCTCCTCACTGGACAGCTGCACGCACTTGCACAGCCGGTCCTTCATGCGCCGATGGCTCTGGCACACTCGCATCTCTAGCCCGTTCCTCTCTCAAGCACCAGCCCGCCTCCTGGGCATCTGCACTTTGATGTCCTACAGGCATTTCGCACCTGGGGTGCGCTCCACGCCGACCGTATTCGTGGCTTACTTGTTACCATGAGTGGCACAGATCTACTAGTAATCAAAGTCAGAAATGTGAGCCTTATTATTCCCTCTCACCTCCGTCTCCAAGCATTTATCATTCACTTACGTTTAATTTCCTGGCCTAGGAATCGTATTTCTTGATTTCTTTCACAAGGCTGTACGTGTCCTGGTATCTGCCTTCCTTCCTAGACTCATTTTTTGACAACCCACTTCTCCCCTCTCCAGCCCTGACCTCCAGTCCTACTGAAACATAAATTTCTTCAAATGTTTCAGGTTTGAACCCTGCTTTCATATGCCCTACCATCTGCTTGAAATAGTCAGCTGTTTAGTTTTCATCAGAAATGTAACTTTATGATAGATCAGAGTACCTCAAATCAGTTTGAAAGCAGAAGACCAAAAATCATTGATAAAAAGGAGATAATCTGAAGCTCTAGTAAATAATATGGGCATTTCCATATAAATTAATGTAAACAGGAAAAAAGACTTATTCAGGAAGTTTGTGGGGTTTTTTTTGTATATAATCCCTATATAGAATATCTAATGGAAAATGTGATTCAGACATAAAGGAGTCTCTAAATAGTCAAGTAACTAAGATTCCCATTTTAGCATTGCGCTCTCGAGACCCGCTCTCAACAAGGACTTCCGGGACCACGCTGAGCAGCAGCATATTGCAGCCCAGCAGAAGGCAGCTTTGCAGGTGAGAAAAGTGTGACTAACATTCTTGTCTCACCGGAGACTTCCTGGGGCTTGGAAAACAGCACAGTTCTTATTTTGTATTTCAGTGGAGCAATCTCAGTAAAAATGTCCCGTACATAATTGCAGTGGTTTGCTGACATTCAGTCATGCCCAGAGGATTTGAAGGACCAATGAAAGTGTTACAGGAGTAATGAAAGTATCTTTTATGGTATTGACGTGGTCATGATTGATTCTTTGCTGCACCTGGCAAGAGACTGCTCGTGCACAAAAGGATATTTGGACGGCCTGAATGAGCTCAAGAAGCTGAACTGGCTGGCTAGTTTAATAGTACATATATATTTTTCAAATTGGTCATGCCGTTGCGTCCTTTGACAGTCTTACTGATTTATTGTTGCTTGGATTCTTTTTTTAATGGTCAGCATATCTGTTTTGGGTGGTGCTAGTGGTCAAGAACCCACCTGCCAATGCAGGAGACATAAGAGACAAAGGTTTGATTCCTGAGTTGGGAAGATCCTCTGGAGGAGGGCATGGCAACCCATTCCAGCATTCTTGCCTGGAGAATCCCATGGACAGAGGAGCCTGGTAGGCTGTAGTCTGTAGGGTCGCAAAGAATTGGACATGACTGAGCAAGACTTAACTCTTAATATGGAAATCTGACAACCCATCATCTTAAAAAAATTGACTGTGATGAACAGTTTTGGTATTTCATTGATCTTGGATAATTTAAGATTCTCAGAGATCTTGGACAAGACATCATTACTGATGCTTTCAAGCCTTAGAATCTCAGAATTGCAAGGGACATTACATTAAAGATCATCTCCCTTTAGACCACCTATAAACAGTCCTTTGTTTAGTGACAAAGGACATCACTGGTGGTTTTGTTATTTACATTCCAGCATTCTCTACAAAATGTTGGCATCTTAATCACCAGTAATCAGCTGCCTTCCCCCTTCTCCTTCCAACTTCTGCCCTTTCTCATTCCTGCTTTATTGACCAAGAGCAGAGCACCCTGGGACCTTGTTGATAGTTTTCCTCCCCACTTCCAGGAACAAAGTAATTCACGTCTTTGACTCAATTATTGACTAATGAGAACCACAAGGAAGAGAGTAGGGAGGATAAATTAGTACCTGGTGCAACTTGTTAATGTGAATTCTTTATTATTGTAGATCTTCTGTGTATTTAAACAAAATTAGCAGCAGCAGAACTGGCTTTTAAAACAAATTTGGTCTTAAGCACTAGGAAAGGGTAAGTAATTTTAATGCCTTGATTGAAGAACTGTGACTCTTAATAACTAAATTGCCTCTTTTTCTTTTTTTTTTTTAAACTTTCTTAGCATGCACATGCACATTCATCAGGATACTTCATAACTCAAGATTCTGCATTTGGGAATCTCATTCTTCCTGTTTTACCTCGCCTTGACCCAGAATGAAGAAAATATTTGTAATGGAAGTGACTTGGTAACATCAGATGCCAAAGCCACTAACATTCAGTGCTGTACAAACCGTGACTTTCAGAAGTTTGGTGGACTTTTTTATATATTTTGTTTCTTTAAAAGAAAGATAAGTGAAAGCAAAAAAAGGAGAGTGACCAGGATGATGAAAGCTCTGGAAGCTGTATTATCTGGGAACTGATGCTGCTGCTCAGGACTATAATCTGTGTGTAAGGCAGTTTGATTTTTAATTCTGAATCAGACCCCAAAGTGGATGTGGTCACACAACCCACCTCCCAAACTAGTTGGACTGAATATATCATGTCTACAGTAGACTTTCAAGAACCATTTAAAGTACTTTATGAACAAATGAGGGTGCTTTTTAAAAATGTGAACCAGTAGGCTTAAGTTACATTCACATTTGCTGTTTATAGAATTGATATCAGTGTACCTTTTGTGTTTATAGTCATCATATCCTAAAATATCCTTTAACTGGTAACTAGTTTGCCTATTCTCAATTTTAAAAGAAAACCCGAGATGCGAGTAAATTACCTGCCAGTCGTAAATACCTTTTATAAATCTATGCCGCTGTAAATTATGTGACTAAATGCTATTAAAAACAATAAGAAATACAGTTGTAAATTCTGTACATGCTCTTATTTAGTGTCACTACATAAATGGTGTGCCTGAACAGTTTTATTGCCCATTTTTGCTCTAATCAGAAACAAAGTTGCGCCCCTTTTCTGTTAAAGAGAAAAGAATTAGGTCAAGCAAGTTTCTCAACATGATGCATCTTTAAACAGAATCCAGGATGCTTACTTAAATATGCAGTCCCCACAACTGACCTTAGTCCTACGGAATTAGTGTCTCTAATTCAAAATAAAGTCTGAAAATCATGGCCTAGAGAATTCAGTGTTCTTGATATCTAAAAATCCATACATATGTAGGTCCCTGAACCTTAGAGGTCATTTAGCTAATGGTATTTTTTTTTACTTTTAATAGGATTGAAATTATGTTTTATACTGTATCACAGATATAGTATTTTCTATAACTGACCTCATCTTGGCCTTAAGCCCCCATCCTCTCTGGTGGTAGGATGAGATTTTAAGCTTGAAGTTACAGTTTGAGTCAAGAATTAGACAAAGTTCATGTCCCTTTTCAAACAGATTCTCCTTCCTTCCCTTAGGCATTTGTTCCAGGCACTCAGCCCCATCTCACCCAAACTGTAAGAAGCAGGAGTGGACAGTTGTAGATAGGGCTGTGCCATTTAGATTCTCTCTGTGGAGAACTGGGACTGGTTGCCTCATTTGGGTGAGTTGGCAGCTGTTCGCATTTTAACGGTCCCCGTTATGGGAAAGGCGCCCTTTGTCCCACTGCTGGCGAGCGCCCAGGCCTTTGCCTCTGCCTGTCTCCGGCTCATGCAGCCAGCCTTGGCCCTCCTTGTCCTCATTTTCTTGAATTGATGTAAGTTACTTCTGTGTAATCCCTGAGCCACTGGCATCATTCTAAATCTACTGATGCTGGGGAGATAACATTTTTGGATTGAATAGTTTTTATACTATTGGTGCTTCTACCAAACATGTAACTTTTATAACCTGGGTGAAAAGATCTTTTTCCCAGTGGTATCTTTTCTGGTCTCAGCCCTTTAAATAGATACTGCCTTTTTAAACATCTGACTCTTCCAGTCCTGACTAGTAAGCACTTCCTCCATGCCTTTCCTTACAACTCCAGTTCAGTTCCATGTGTATTCACTAATGCCTGCCCGGTAAAGCACTGTGGTTTAAGGGGAAGGGGTGAGTTGAGACCTGCTCTTAAAGAAGCCGCAGTGCAGGGAGCCCACTCTGGTACAGCAGCGAGGAAGCAGCGTCCAGTGCGTGGCCCGGGAGTGGGAAACCTGAGCACGCGCAGTCTAGTCAGGCCTAGAAGTTACTACTGCAATCTGCCCTGGCAGGGCGAGAAGGTCAGCTCCAGGCAGCGCTCAGGATTTCATCATCAAAGTAGGGACTGCAACAGCTGGGAGGACCGCAGCGGATGATGGGGAGGGCGGTAGTGGGCACCCGTGGTGCTTCCTCGGCTTGCAGGTGAGTGTGGCTGACCCACTTAACCTTAAGACTTACCTGTCACGCTGTCTCCTCTGTAAAAGGGGAAGAATACACACACTGCCTAATTCATAAATTACCTAGACCAGTATTCTTCAGAGTGCAGGTCTCAATACATTACCGAATTGAGAGGCCAACTAAATGGCTGAATGGGGTGTGACCCGCTTTTCTCTTTTTTAATAGAAAACATCAGAGTATATGGCATGTACACAGGAGGTTTTGGTTCATGAATCTTCCTTTTCTGTGCATTTGTGAGTTTACTTAATCATATGCTCCACCTGCATGTAAAGGTCTTTGAGAGCAAGGGCTTTTGTTCTTACTTCCTGTTTACTACTATAGTCTGCTGAGAATAGTATTTGGCATATAGTAGGTGGTCAGTACTTAAAGGAATGAATGAATATGAGCTGGATTCTGATGTAAACGGTATTTTTTTTTTATACTATGAGTCATGGCAAAAATGTTTTGAAAGCCACTTCTAAATAATACAGATGATAGTGCTTTGTATGACTCTGGAATAAAAACTGAAATGACTCAATAATTTCAAAGGCTTATTTTTTTCCTGAACAATTTATAAGCTTGTCTCATTAAGTTGTCTCAGTTCTTTGCTTTACTTTGGCATGCTTGCTATGCATTTAAGGCCCGTTGAGGCAAAGGTTTTGGCATATCAACAGAGAGGACATCAGTTCATTAGTGCAGTTGGTCCCCCAGTTGGAATCCCATCAGCTCTCCAGTAGCATTAAGCCCAACCAGTGTTTACTCAGGACTCCCTCACCTCTGAGTGCACAGCGACTAGTGTGCAATAGACACCCACATCTTCTTAAATGAGCAAATAAAGAATGAATTGTGGTGCTGGAGAAAACTTGAGAGTCCCTTGGACAGCAAGGAGATCAAACCAGTCAATCCTAAAGGAAATCAACCCTGAATATTCACTGGAAGGACTGATGCTGAAGCTGAAGCTCCAATACTTTGGTCACCTGATGCGAAGAACTGACTCACTGGAAAAGACCCTGATGCTGGGAAAAACTGAGGGCAGGAGGAGAAGAGGGCATCAGAGGATGAGATGGTTGGATGGCATTACCGACTCAATGGACATGAGTTTGAGCAAACTCGAGAGAGTGAAGGACGGGGAAGCCTGGCGTGGTACAGTCCATGGGGTTGCAGAGAGTCAGATATGACTTAGGAACTGAACAACAACAAAAGAATGAACAGGGATGGAGGAGGAGAGCTTCGTTGTCCTCAAGAATCTGACAGTTTAGAGCAGGCGACCCTAGTAGCAAAGGCTAACAGCACAGCAGTAGTGAGGAAGGAATGAGTACATGAGCGTGGAAGGACTAGTGAGGGTTCCTTCAGGGAACAATCATTTGAATTTGGCTTTCAAGATGAGAGATTCAGCCAGGAATGGTGGTAGACCAATATTCACAGCATAGGAAAAACCTGCACTAAGGCAGGCAGGAAAGCTGGTGTAGGGGGCGTTGTGAAGCAACCTCAAGTCCAGTTCGGTTGGATTTGTATGGACAGATTTGGATAAATTGTAATATGGCAACAATTAGAAATGAGGCCAACCACAGGCTGTACTCAGAGAGTGAAATTCCAGGGCGAGGCAAATGTCTCTAGCCTGACATAACAGCAGAGAGCAACTGAACATTTTTAAACACAGACAGGTACAGAGATGAACATATTAGGCCCTAATCAGCTCTGGGGAAAGGGGAACTTGGAAGGCACCAGAGGAATATTTACTCTCAATTTCTATTGAGAATTCAGACAGGCATGCTCTGGTTATATCCATGCCTCAGCTCTATTCCCATCCAGCTCTTCTCTCTTCCATTTAGTTCTTGGATCCTTAACCCAAATTTTTTGCTTCTTCACCTCCCTCCACCCCCATCTGCCTTTCTTCTCTCCCACAGCTCTTCTAGAGCTCTACCTCCAAGAACCTTTTAAGGAAGAAAAAGCAAGGCATCCTCACACAGTATTCATTCAATCTGCATGACGGCTCAGTGCATGAGTAGACACTCTTAGTAATCAACTCGTTCCCCCTTCCTAATAGTGTGTGCATGCTCAGTCGCTCAGTTGTGTCCAACTCTGCGACCCTATGGACTGTAGCCTGCCAGGCTCCTCTATCCGTGGGATTCTCCAAGCAAGAATACTGGAGTGGGTTGCCATTTCCTACATCAGGGTATCTTTCTAACCCAGGAATTGAACCTGTGTCCCCATTGTCTCCTACACTGGCAGGCGGATTCTTTACCACCAAGTCACCTGGAAATCCCATCTTCCTAACAATATTCAGATTTTATTCAGCATGACCCTTCCCCATTACAGCCAATATGCTGACTGTCTCAGCAACAGGTAGGCCTTACATGCTCCAAACTGATCAGGACAACTGCCTTTTGCTGACACATGCTGCAGCTGACACATGGCATTTCACAGACCATGAGAACTGGTTCAAGAGTGGACATGTTACCTAAATTCAACCCCAGTGAGACTGCTGGAGAGGTTTGCTGGGTATATGGAGATGTAAACATATTTTTTGTGTGTGTGTAAATACATTTTTCTGAGATCGCTACTAAAAGGGAGTCACTCTAGATGTGTAAAAGGAAATTATGTATTTTTTTCCTGAGTATTCTTGGCAGCCATCATGTGACCATGAGGTGGAACCAGTCTTAGAATGAAGCCACCACCATAAAAGGTGCAACAGAGAAATATAAAGAAACTGGGTCCTTGAGGACATAACTGCACAGCTGAGTCAGTTCCTAAAGTGCTGCCCTTCCTTTTTGGAAGGGTATGTATGGGGGTAATAAGCTCTTATTATTGATTAAGCTAGATTAAAGTAGCTATTTAAACACAAGATGTGGAAAATTCTTCAAAAGATGGGAATACCAGACCACCTGATCTACCTCTTGAGAA